ACATAAACTCTTTGAAAGCAAGGGAACTAGCCTATTCAGTAGTATATTTTCATATGAATAAATTCTATCAAACTGGGAATTTTCTTAACAAAAATACATTAAATGAGCAGTATAGAATGGCAACATGCTTTACACTCTGGTTTCCTGACTTTCAGATTTGTGCTTACATCTCACCTTTGCCTCTTCTAGGCCCTGTGATCTTAACCAAGCTATTTAATTTTTTTCAAACATCAGTACCGACTTCATTTTAAACATTACATAAATAAGATGCATTCAAAGTTTAGCACTGTGCTAGCTTGTGGTAAGAGCTCAAAAATAACCAACATACAGACAGGTAAGAGCCCTACTTTTTAAGCAATACTAATGGGAAGATTCTAGTCTGAGAGCCTCCCAGATCCTACCTATCACAGGAAAGAGTGCTTTGGAAATGAAGGCCATTGCGATTTGGACCCATGAGGGTCACATGGAAAGTGATTAGGCACAATTCTATATGATGCTGGGGTTATATTGTCTGGCTCCATATCAGCTGTACCATCTTTTACCTGGGTGACCTTAGGCAAGGCCTCTGTCTCTCTGTACCTCAATTTCCTCATTTGTAAAGTTATAATTGTTTCCATTCTAGGGTTAGTCTAAGTATGTTCTACAAATGCATTAGTGCATTAAATACTGATGCATGGCGAGTACACATATTAGCTATTACCAGAAATGAATGCAAATTCCTCTGGATTATTTCATTCTGGTTAGAAGACATTATAGCTATGGGAAAGAATTCTTGGACCAAGATTCCAGTCTGATCATTTCTCTCCCACAACCCTGATTTCTCTGCTTTCTCCCAGTTTCACAGGACAGCCAAGTCTCAAGCCACTCTTTGAGTAAGTCCTGCTGTACCTAGTGATTGCTGGTCATTATGGAATCTGCAGCTTGTGACATAAATCTTCAGGAAGGAGAGATATAACAAGAAGGAATCTGTATTATTATTTATTGCATTAATGTTTTCTTTTCTCTTTTTAAAGTGATGGTGATAAGTAAATACAATTCGTATGTATTCAATAATACCCAAAATACTTATTTCTCAAAAAGTAATCTCCTGATCAGAAAGAAAAGCTGAAACTACACTCAATCTTATCCACAATATACCTGTCCAAACCCCACTCTTGCTCTGGTGAGTTCATTTGCTCTCCCTTTTGCTGGCTTGCCTTTCATAAGACTGTATGGGGTTATGAGATGGGGTCTTTGCTATCAGCCAAGCCTGGGTTTGAATCCCAGGTCATCCTCTTACCAGATATTTGATAATGAGCAATTCACTTATCCCCTTTAAGGCTCAAGTTGCTCTTCTGTAATATGGGAACCACATAGAGTAGATAGGATAGAAAGAGGCCACATTTTTATAGCAGCAAACTGCTAACTACTTAGGCTAAAACTGCACCTTCAAAATAATCACAAGTGAGCAGGGCATGGTGGCACTTGCCTGTAGTCCCAGCATTTGGGAGGCAGAGGCAGGCAGATCTCTGTGAGTTCAAGGCCAGCCTGATCTTCATAGTGAGTTCCAGGCCAGCTGGGGCTACAGAGAGGCCCTGTTTCAAAAAGACCAAAAACAATAATAATCATAATCATAATCATAAGTGACAAGACTCAGAGGTAAAGAAGTCTGGGTGCTATTTAGAATTTTAAAAAGTTGAGAAATTTTAAAAAAGAAGTTGAGAAATGGCAGAATCACATACACCCTAACCATTATCTTTATTTAAATATTTTAGCCATGAGGCAAGAGAGGAACTATGAGTTATGAAATGCAGACATGAGCCATCAAGATGGCTCAGTGGGAAAGGCAATTGCCATCAAGCCTGATGACCTCAGTTTGATTTCTAGGATCCGCATGGTAGAAGGGGATAATCTACTGCCACAGGTTGTCCTCTAATCTCCACAGCATGTACACACACACAAGCACACACACACACACACGCACACACACACGCACACACACACACACACACACACACCACAATTGAAAGAAAAAGAGAAAAATAAGGAGCATGTTACAGCTAATACCATTGACCATCAATCCTAAGACTTGACAAAATTCCTGCACCAGAATTTTCTAATAGTACATTTTTCCAACCAAAATACCATATCTCAAAATTGGTTAATAGGACATAGTAGAGAGGTGTGCCTTATTCCTACCCCAGTATCTTGAACTGCATAGAAGAAGAAAAATCATTAATTTCGTTATTGGTTCTTGAATGCTTTTGGGTCAACAGCTATACCCACAGCTCCTAATAGTCTCATGAGAAAAAGACTTTCAGAGTTCCTTCCCCCAGATTAATTTATAACCAGCCCATATCTTCGTAGCATGTAGGAAAGGGCTCACTATGTGTTGGAAGTATA